GTGGTTTTGTGGTTTTGGGTGGTGGGCAGCTGGATGTATTTATTCTCCAAAATGAGATTATAATCATACAAAAAGGGCAAGGAGGCCCCATGTTCTCACCTCCTCTAATCCCACAAGAGGAAGACAGGATTACCAGCAGTAACCCAAGGCCTATTACTGCAGGGCCAGACATGCTGCCTCCCTCCAGCCCCCTCCCCATCTGTTCCTCCCAAAGCACCCACCACCTCTCTCCTGGGTTCGATAATTCGCTGCAGTGGCCACACAGAGCTCAGAGATTATGGGATTTATTAGGGAAGCACCACAGGCTACAATTCAAGTTCAGGAAAAATGCTCAGCCTCTCTCCCAGCCCATCGTCCCTCAGCCAACAGTCTCTCACAGTCTCTTTCCCAGCAGTGCTGGTCCCTCGGTGTCTCACTCAGCAATGCATGTCTTTTGCGTCTCTTTCCCAGCAGCACGTCTCTTTCAGGGGCGCGTGTCTCTTTGGGCAGCACTTCGTCCTCAACCAGCAGTCAGAGAGTTCTGCCTCTAGGATGCCTCATTTTGAGCCCGGCAGGGTGGTCAAACTAGCCAATCATAGCATCAGAACTCTAAGCACTTGAGAGAGAGTGGGCACCTCCCAGAATATTGTTTTGTGCCACTCCCAACAGAAATACTCCACATGGACAACTTCAGCAATCAGGAGCTCCTCAGTTGCCCATAGAAAATCCCACCTTGGAGTTTACAAAGACTTATTGGTAGAAAAGCGACACCAAGTAATTTACTACACCACAAATCACCTCCTTGGTGGAATCTGCTGTGAGACTCTAATCAGTGAAGGAAAGTCGCCTTCAGGGTGTAGTCTACTTCTAGTACATAAGAAGCTTTGAAAAATGTTTCAAAGCTTTGAAAAAGTGCAGTCTTGGGACTGTGCCATTTTACCTATTGATCTTGGGTTCTTCAGCCTCAGCAGCCAGCAGCTACATGAGTCAGAAAAAGTCTCCAGCTCCAGTGGGCCTGAAATAGGAGGCAAGAGCTGAAGTTAAGATCAAGGAGCCCTCATCCAGCCCCTAGACCAAGCACTCTGAACTCAGACTTCTAGCCTCCTAAACTGTTAAGAGCATAAATTCCTGTTAGTTAAAGTCATCCATTTGTGATATTTGTTATAGAAACACTAGAGAAAGAAGACAGAATTTGGTACTGGAAGTGGTGTGCTGCTCTAACAGATACCTAAAATGTGGACGCAGAAGTGGAGTGCATCCTTGGATCCAAGATCCCTGCACTGAGACCACAGCAGAGAGACGGTGAAGCTGAGAAATCAGCATGAAACCGAGCTTGCCAGCCCATGGAGCAAGAAAACTGAATGCCTTTTGGCAGGAAGCTTCCTGGTGGAATGGGTTGCCTTTGGGCATTAACTGGCAGAAGCTGAGAGACCAAGGAAGTGGGAAACAGAGCTGCCTCAGTTTCAAAGGGTAGGACCACAGCCTCTGGAGGTGGAACCACCACAGCCTCCTAGGTTGCAGAGTCAGATCTTCATCAGCTCGGTTCTGGAGGGTAAGGCTGACATGTCAAAGGCGCAGAACGATGGGGACTGCCTGCCAAGGGGCTGGGGTCACCACTCAGACAGACTAGGAGACTCGGGACACCCAATGAAGATCTGTACAGGTGCCAAGTTGACAAGGGGCCTTCAGCCTCCTGAGCCAGCACTTTGAACTCAAATACTTGTCTGGCCTCCTAAACTGTAACAGAATAAATCTGTTTGTTAAAGCCATCCATTTGTGGCATTTCTATTATAGCACCACTAGAGTACTAAGACATTGAGTACATAATCTGAGAAGCTGGACTATATGAAGAACATGGTATCAAGATTGGAAGAAGACTCATTAACAACCTGTGATATGCAGATGGCACTACCTTGCTTGATAAAAGTGAAGAAGACTTAAGCATTTACTGATGAAGATCAAAGACTACAGTCTTCAGTTTGAATTACACCTCAACATTAAAAACAAAAACAACCAATCAACCAACCTCACAACTGGACCAATAAGCAACATCACGATAAATGAAGATTGAAGTTGTCAAGGATTTAATTTTACTTGGACCCACAATCAATGCTTATGGAAACAGCAGTCAAGAAATCAAAGGATGTACTGCATTGGGCAAATCTGCTGCAAATTTTTATTATGATTTGGGTGAATGTTTACATAGCAAATTCATTTGCCACACAGCAGTTCATACACATTTTGTTTCGTGACATTGCAATTCCCCACAGTGTGACAGCTCTCTTCCCACTTCCTCCCTGTAGTTACCTCTTCTGTGTCCTTCCCTCCCAGGCATTCTCCTCCCCTGCCACCAACTGTCTCCTGTGCAAATACTGCCCTTCTATTGTCCCATGATTGATCACTCCAAAATGTGTATCTACCTTATCTAAATGTTCACCCCATCTGCCTATTGTTTGGATGGAAGCCACAGCTCCAGACCTGAAGAGTAACTAGGGGCCATAGTCTCAAGGATCTCACCAGGCTCTATCAGACCAGCAAACCTTTTTTTTTTTTTATGAGTTTTGTTCCACATTGTTCTCCCACTTTATTCAGGATCTTCTGCACCCATCCCCCTCTGAGTGGTTGCCCGTGGTAGCTGAACACCATCTAGTTCTTCTGGTCTCATGAGCAGAAAACATATTTAGTGGTGTTAAAGAGCAAAGATGTCACTTTGAAGACTAAGGTGCACCTGGCCCAAGCCGTGGTATTTTCAATAGCCGCATATACATGTAAGAGTTGGAAAATGAGTAAGAAAAACCAAAGAAATGAAGCATTTGAAATGTGGTACTGGCAAAGAATACTGAATGGACCATGGACCATGGACCACAGACTGCTAGAAGAATGAACAAATCTGTCTCATAGGAAGTATAGCCGGAATGCTCCTTAGAAGCAAGAATGCCAGACTTCATCTCTCATACTTTGATCACGTTGCCAGAAGGAACCAGTCCCTGAAGTATATCATGCTACATAAAATAAAAGGGTCAGTGAAAAAGGGAAAGACCCTCAATGAGATGGTACATTATGCAAAAGACAGCTGCGTCAAGATTTCTTTTCTTAGAGTGTCTTTCTTCCCTAGTTTGATCACAAAGAGAAATCACTCCCTCAGTTTCCAAGGCCTCTAGCAATGGAAGGGCCAAATGACAGGCACCTGTGAAAAGTCTGAGTTAACTATTGAATGCAGCTAAGCAAACAAGAGTCCCTCCCAGTAAATCTTGTAAAAAGACCAGTTTAACTCAGCAAAAAGTGAGTTCAACCCAATCATTTGGCTCTGGTCATAAAGGCATCATGAACTTCTGTACAACCACAAATATGAAGGCTTATTTTTGCACTCAGTTCTACTCCATTGATTTGTATCTGTCTTCATGGCAGTAACACACTGTCTTGATTACTAAAGCCTTGTGTAAGTTTGCAATCAGGAAGTCTGAATCCTCCACCTTTGTTCTTTTTCAGAATTATTTAGGTGTGTTTTAGGTCCCTTGCATTTTGACATCAACTTTACTATCAGCTTGTCAATTTCTGCAAAAAAAAAAAAAAAAAGATCATTTGGAATTTTGATGGAGATTTTGCTGAATCTGTAGATGAATTTGGGGAGTTTTGTCACCCTAAGGACATTAAGCCATCTAATTGATGACCATGGGATGGCTTCCCATTTATTTAGATCATGTTTAATCTCTTTCAACAGTGTACTGTAGTTTTCAACATGCAGGCTTTGCATTTCTTTTGTTAAATGTATTCTTTTTTATCCTTTTGATGCTATTGCAGGTGAACTTTTTTCTCCTTCATTTGCTATTGATTTTAAAGATGCACTACTGTGTGGATCTCTCTGCATTTACTGTTAGTTGCTGTCAAGTTGACTTTGCCTCATGGCAACCTTATGTATAATAGAGTGAAACACTGTCCAATCCTGTGCCATGTTCATGATTGTTGTTGGAAGTGTGGGGTAATCTTCCAGCACTATCTGACAATATTCTGCTGTAACCCATAAGGCTATCATTGTCCACTTTTCAGCAGTAGATCACCAGGCCTTTCTTCTTAATTCACCTTAGTCAAAAGCCTATCCACCATGAGTGACCGCTGGGATTTGAAATATCAGTGGCATAGCTTGCACCATCACAGCAACACACAAACTACCCCAGTACAACCTGAGAGGTGGGTTGTGGTTTTACTTAGTACATTCCATAAAAGTCTAGGCTCATCATGCCTTCTCCCCCTTTCAGCTCTCTGGTCATGCTATTCCCCTAGAATACTCTTACCCACCAAAGCGCACTCAACCACCAGCCTGGGAGCTCCCGAAGCAAGAGCCAGCCTGGTAGCCTATAGGTCCTCAGAAGAAGACAGCAAACCCCTGGAAGCATTTGTTGAAGGAATTCAAAGTAGGTTTTGATCTCCGATGTTGTCAGGCATCAGTCAGGGGGTTTGGAAGGTATCAGAGAATCAATTTCCTTGCCCTCGTGGAACTTACTTTTTATTGTGCTGAAAATATATCTAACAAAACATACCATCTCTCAGTAATTTCTACGGATACAATTTAGTGGCATTGTTCAAGCTGTGCACCCATTCTAGGGCTTACATTTTTAAGAAATCGAGAAACGATAAACAAGACGTGTTAGAAGCTGTGAAAATTTGAAAGATCACCGTCACCTTCCTCCTCCCTGTCCCATTCCGCGTTCCCCACTTCGACTCCTTGAGCTCGAGATCATCCTCTTTGGTCTGGCTCTGACACCACGACGTCGAGAGCGTTAGTGCCGGTTCTGCTTGCCAGCCCAGGAGCCGGGCAAGACACAGTGGAAAGAATAAAACCAAAAGAACACAGAAATACAACGGACTGCCCGGCCCTGGTGGGGCTTCACATCCTGAAGTGAGCATGAACATGGACAGTTGCGCAAGCGTACTTGAAACCGAACGAGTGAGCAGGCCGGCCCTCGCGCAGGCGTACTGGAGACCTTAAGGAGTGCTTCCGCCTTCCCTCCGCAGCTGTCGCCATGGCCGCGCCGGCCCCGGGGCTCATCTCGGTATTCTCGAGCCCGCAGGAGCTGGGCGCATCGCTGGCGCAGCTGGTGGCGCAGAGGGCGGAGTGCTGCCTGGCGGGAGCCCGCGCCCGCTTCGCGCTTGGTCTGTCGGGCGGCAGCCTTGTCTCGATGCTGGCTCGCGAGCTGCCTGCCGCTGTCGCCCCCGCTGCGCCCGCCACCTTCGCACGCTGGACGCTGGGCTTCTGCGACGAGCGCCTCGTGCCCTTCGAGCACGCCGAGAGCACGTACGGCCTCTACCGGGTGAGAGCTACGGGGGCCGCCGGGGGTCACGCCAGCAGGGCCCCGCCCACGAGTAACCCCGCCTACGGGGGCCGCCAGAGGTCAGTCCGGTCGGACCGCTCTCACCATTTAACCTCGGGCTACGGGGGCCGCCAGCAGTCTTCTTGTGGCGAACCGCGCCCACCTTCAATACTCCGCCTACAGGGGACGCTGGTAGTCCTTTCGGGTTGGACTTTGCCCTTCCCCTAAATCCTAGGTATGCAGATCTCCAGGAGTAATGCTGCGAGGTCCACGGCCACCGCCTAAATCTAGGTTAGGGCTGTCGAGGGTCGAACGGTAATCTCTTGTTTTTATCTGGGCTGAGCCTGGGAGTGGTCATCTGATTGAGGTCCCACCTGGACTTCAACACTCTCTGCTTTTACCTAGGATGGCTGTGGAGCTTTGAAATCCCCTCCTTGCTTTATACTGTGTACAAGAAGAGGGCGTGGCATTGGAAAGGGCGGGCAGTGAAACAGATTGGCCTTTCCAGCTACTTGGAGAAGTGATCTGGTTACAGCCTTGGAGCGTGCACAGTGCAGAGTTAGGAGCAGGAAGGTTCGGGTGTTCCACCGGCCCTACCTCCCTGTGCAGCCTGGGCCTCAATTTCCTCAAGTTCTCGGTGGTAGTCAAGTAGCTAGTGGCTGTGAGGGCCTCTTGTATGGTTATTTTGGCCCCATATAGATTCAGGGGCCTCCCACATTTTACAAGCAGAGAAACTGGCTGGGAGGAGCTGTGACTTGCCCCGGGTGCTTGCCCATATCAGGATTAGTCTCCCTCCTGTCTGGGTAGAGAATAACCCAGGGAAGGCAGGGAGGGGCAGGCTTGGCCAGAGCCACAGGTTACCTGAGCCAGGTATGGGCCCCACCCCTGGCACCGACCCTGAGGAAAAGCCTTCAGTGCTCTTGGCAGCAGGGACGAGCCTGACGAGGAAATGGGGTCGAGATGATGGGGACCTTCAGGGGTGAGCAGGCAGGCAGCCGATGTCCTGGGTGAGGCAGGCAGGAGCTCAGGAGTCCAGTGAACTGGCAGAGAAGCCACAGCACGTTGGGCATTCATGCAGTGAAAGGGTTCTAGGCTCCAGTAGGGGTTCATCCTGTCCTGGATGTGAGCTGATGGCTCTCATTATTTTTCACAAGAGGGGATATTTGCCAGGTGCCAGCCCAGGGCTTAACCCTTCACCCGTGTCATCTCATGAATTCCTATGAAGTAGGGCTGCTGTTACTCCTATTTCACAAATAGGGACACTGAGGTAGAGAGAGCAGCACTCACCAGCCCAGTCACTCAGCAAGTCACAACTGGTCGCACTTGAGCCTGTCCCACCCACATCTGGGGACACATGGAGACAGGGGCCATGCTCAGCCTTCTGTTTCCTGGGCGGTGGTGGTGGTGTTATGTACCGTCGAGTGGGACCCACTCATAGCGACCCCTCCTTGGGTTTCCAAGGCAGTATCACTACGGAAGTAGATTGCCCCATCTTCCTTCCAAAGAGTGGCTGGTGGGTTTGAACCACTAGCCTTCTGGTTAGCAATCAAGTGCCTTAGGCACTCAGCTACCAGAGCTCCTTGTTTCCTGGGTGCCCTCCCTAAAAGGCTAATCAGACAGTAAGAGAAAGTTACTTAGATGTTCGCTGAGCGCCCCCTGTAGGTAGGAGTCTGTGCTCAGCGCTGAGGGTGCAGTAGGGAGCTTGGCAGAGCTGGCCCTGCCTTCACAGGGCTCAGAGGGGGCAGACAGCCAGAGAATAAAATTAATAGATAAGGAAAACCCAGGCGGCACATTAACACAGCCAGGTAGAGAGGTGTAATGAGAGTACTGTGTACAAGGGCACCTGGTGGGGCCCAGCGGCTCCTCTGTGGGGCTCCTGCGCAGACAGTGCGTGACTGCTGTGGTTTTGTCCCTCCCTCTGCACAGGCCCAGCTGCTGTCCAGGCTGCCCATCCCAGAAGGCCAGGTCATCACCATTAACCCCTCACTGCCCGTGGAGGAGGCAGCTGAGGACTATGCCAAGAAGCTGAGAGAGGTGAGTTCCACGGGGCCCACAGAAGGTCACTCCCACACGCAGGCCAGGCACAGGAGAATGGGAACCTGTGTGTGGCACTGTATGGGGTCCCCATCAGAAACTCCCCTGAGGGCTGTTGGCAGGCCTTGCCCCCTTTGAGGCTTCCCTTGTTGGAAAACCTCACCCTCCCAGAGGCTGTACCCCAGTCCTGTGGAGTCTTTGGGGGGGGGGGTCATCTGATGACCCGGTAGTGGGCCTGGGTCTCCACTTTTGTGACAGTTGTGTCCCCAGACCTGTGACTCCTGGGCAGCCCGAGAGGTGAAAAGCAGAACTTCATAGCTATGATTAGTGTGTCTTTTATCACACATGCACCTGAGTGTCCCTTCCTGGGTATCTTAGTTAGAGCTGCTGTGACAGAAACTGCACAAGTGGGTGGCTTTAAGGAACAGAAATTTATATTCTTGTAGTTCAGGAACCTAGAAGTCCAAATTCAAGGCACCAGCTCTAAAAGGTTCCTTCTGTTGCCTTTGCGGAAGGTCTTTGTGTCTTTTCAGCTACTGTTCTTTGTTCCTTGGAGAGCTTCTTGTGACATCTGTCTCCTCCCCCCTTTTTACATTTCAAAAGTCATTGGCTTAAGACCCACTCTGCACAGATAGGACCTCATGAACATAACACTGAAAACCCTGGTCCCAAATGGATCTTATCCACAGGTGTAGGGCTTAAGAGTCCAACACATATTTTTGGGGGGACACCATTCAATCCATAACACTAGGTTAAAGACACTTGTGTTTCTGTTTTTTGACAACTGTCTCTTGGTGCCCTCTGAGTCCCTCCCTTTCACCCTCTCTGCACCATCCCCTGCCTGACCCAGGCCTTCCAAGGGGACTCCCTCCCAGTCTTCGACCTGCTCATCCTGGGGATTGGCCCTGACGGCCACACGTGCTCCCTCTTCCCAGACCACCCGCTCCTGCAGGTGAGTGCACCGACATAGCCCTCTTAAGTCCCAAACATCAGCTTCGGCTGCCTGTGGCTCCTGGAGGAAGGGCAGCCTGCAGGGTGATACATAGAGCCAGGGATCGAGTGGGCAACCTGGGACAAGCACCCGAACTGTCCTGAGCCTCTGCTGTTCACCCATCTGAAAATAGGGGTCTCAAATCAGCTACCATGGCTGGTTGGGATTGGGGTGGGGGTGATGTAAGGACCATGCCTGGTGTGGAGAAAGTGCTCAAGAAGTGAGGGGCATCATGCTTCTGCCTCTCTCCTGGGACTCCCTTCCACAGGAGAAGGAGAAGATCGTCGCCCCCATCAGTGACTCCCCAAAGCCACCACCTCAGCGTGTGACCCTCACACTTCCTGTGCTGAATGCGGCCCGAACTGTCATCTTTGTGGCAACTGGAGAAGGCAAGGCAGCTGTTTTGAAGGTAACAACTGCGGGCCCTGTTTCGAAGAAGATCATGGGCACATGGGCCCTGGCCCAGGGCCTCAGGGTAAAAGATGACCCCAGATACTGTGCTGGAAATGTCAGATCTCAATATGATCCCGTCATTCTTTGGTCAAGGGAGAGATCAAAACTGCAATTACAGGCTATTTAGGAGTTAACGATAATGAGTTGAAATTAGTGAGACGAGGTCAGAGCTGCACTCAGAGGCAAATTCAGTATTTATAAATAAAATTCCATTGACACCCAGCCAAAGAGCATCTGCTTACATACTGTCTGTGGTGGCTTTTGGCTGTAGTGACAGTGTTGAGTGGTTATGACAGAGAGCATCTGGTCTACAGAGCTGAAAATATTGACCATCTGGTCCTTTGAAGAAAGAGTTGCCGAGCCTTGAGTTCACCGAGAGGTCCGGGGCAGCACAAATGGCTTGTGCTATTAGTTGTAAGTTTCGTGGTTTGAGTCCATTTTAGGGGCACCACAGAGGAAAAGCCTACAATCTTCCATAAAGTTTGCCGCCAAGAAAACGCTGTGAAGCAGTTCTGCTCTAACAGATGGGATCACTGTGAGTCAGAATTGACTCAACAGCAAAGGTTTAGTTTTTGGTTTGCAGTTAAACTGTTGGGATCAGAGAAAGGAAGGGACTGTGTCCCTGCTAATTGAAGCTCTGACAGCCAGGGAGTCTCTGGGTGTGCAGATGGTTATGCGTTCGACTACCAGCTGGAAGGTTGGCAGTTAGAACCCTCTCAGAGATGGCTTGGAAGACGGGCCTGGCAATCTGCTTCCAAAAGGCCACAGCCTTGAAAACCCCGTGGAGTAGCTCTCCTCTGTGCACAGGTCACCATGAGTCGGGATGGACTCGATGGCACCTAGCAGTGACGACAAGGACACCTGTGAAGCACAGTGTCCAGTCCCAAGGGTTTGAGAATCATGTCTGTTGAGGTCCTGGGAGCTCTGGGAGGTGCCAGGGGAGGCTGCTCCTCCTGACCCTGCGTCTCTCACCACAGCGTATCCTGGAAGGCCACGAAGAGAACCCACTCCCCGCTGCTCTGGTCCAGCCACACACGGGGAAGCTGTGCTGGTTCTTGGACGAGGCGGCCGCCCACCTGCTGACGGTGCCCTTTGAAAAGCACTCCACTTTGTAGTCGCTGGGTAGACACCATGCTGGGACCACAACACCCAAGTGGCTGGGACCTTGTGGGGCTGGGCCCCACTCATCGCCACGTTCCTGACTCTGTCTGAACAAAGCCATGGAGCCCTTCCAGAAGCCACGAGTGCCCAGCTGTGGCTCAGCCCGTGGGCTGTGGCTCTGGGCAGCCTGGGTATTAAAAGAAACATTAGTCGGAGTCTCATCTGTCGTGGTCCTTGGTGGGCAGCAGCCTGGGGGTGCCTAGGTTGAGGCCCTGACCCTCGACCAGCATCTCTCATCCCAGCCTGGGCAGTGGGTCTTGGCCTGCCGTCCCTCTCTGGGGGATGGCACCCTGGGTGAGTGCTTGGAGCTGCTGGGACAGAGTACCACAAACTGGGAGCTTAAAACAGCAGAGATTCATTCGGTCACGGTCTAGAGGCCAGAAGTCTAAAAGGTGTCGGCAGGGCCGAGCTCCGTCCTGAGGCCCTGGGGGAGGGTCCTTCCTCGTCTCTTCCAGCTTCTGGTGGCTCCCTGCGTTCCTGGGCCTGTGGCTGCATCACTTGTCTCTGCCTGTGTCATCACAAGGCCTTCTCTCTCTGTGTGTCCTTTTCTCTTTTGTCTCTTACAAGGACACTGGTCATTGGATTTAGGGCCCACCCTAAACCCAGGATGATCTCATCTTGAGATCCATTAATTAATCACACTTGCAAGGACCCTACGTCCAAACAAGGCCATGTTCACAGATCCCAGGGATTAGGATGTGGGCATATTTTGGGGGGACACAACTCCACCTCTTCTACAGCCCATTGGCTGAGCTGCTGCACACACAGGGTTATTGTGAACACTGTGTCCTGCTGAGCTGTGGCCTTCGCAGAGCCTTGAATATACAGAGGTGGCTCTGGAGCTGCTGGTGGGCACCTGAAGCCTCAAAGTCAGGCCACCCCACACTTGGCGGCACCTGCAGTGCTGAGTGTGGGGTCTGGGGCATGTCCCACATCCCACAGGCGGTTGTGCTGCGTGGAGGGGAATTGAAACTGCCCAGGGGTGTGGCTGCCCAGGAGGAGCGAAGCTGAAACCACCAGAAACCAAGTTTCCCTAACAGTTTAATCAGGCCCAGAAGTGAGAGTGAGGAAGTGGGACTGAAAATAGGCTGAGACACAGTGGGTGGGGGGTTAGGAAGGAAAGCAGCAGTACGGGGTTGGGTAACAGGTGGCCATGACCCTTCAGCCACAGTCAGAGGCAGGGCAGAGGGCAAAGGAGGGAAAGTGAGGTCACAGGACCCTGGGACTCCAGGTAACACTGTTGGTGTACCGTCTCCTGTACTGTTCTCCCCATAGCCCTCACCTCCTACCCAGCCCAGGAGGCTCCATGTGGCCCCCGCAACCACCCTTCCATCTGCCCTTCACCCGTTCTGGTCCAGCCCACTGACTTCACTGTTCCTAGAACCAACCACCTCAAGGCCTTTGCACTTGCTGTGCCAACTGTCTGGAGTTCTCTCTCCTGCAGGTCTTGGTGTGGCCTCTTACTTCCTTCAAGTCTTGGCACAACATCACCATTGGCCCTCATGGAGATTTCCTCCAGCCCTGAGCCTGCTCCAGGAATCATCTAGCACCTTAAGGAGCTGGGGCCTCAGTTCATAGGCTCTGGCTCTGGAGTGACCAGATATTAAGAGGAGCACAGCGGGTCTGTGCTGCTCATTGCTTGATAAAGCCTGACTCCCATTTGATCACATTTCAGCCTGGAGAGCAGGCTCCATCCCATTCATTCATTCCTTCCTGCACTGAAAACACCGGGGCTGCTCTGTGCCAAGAACTGGAAAAGCAGGTGACAGGGTGGGAAATGACTCAGCAGCGCTGATGCAGAGATAGCCACTCTGATGGAGGACATGCTGGCACAGTGGGAGCACAAAGCACATACCCCACTGGTCTAAAGGTGCAGGGACTGCTTCCCAAGGGGCTGGTGTCCAAGCCAAGGCCTTCAAGATGAAGACTGGGGACCAAGTCCTTCAGGGAGTGGGATGTTGGTCTAGGTGTGTTGCAGGTGCTTGGTGTCTGGTCTGGGCGAAGACCTGGAGGGGACGTGGGGCAGGTGATGGGGTCTGGAAAGAGCTGCAGGTGGCTCAGGGGCTGCAGAGAGAGGGGATGTTGAGAGAAGAAGCTGGTGTTTCCCTGAGGGAGGAGCCCCAAGAGCACTTGAAGTCAGGCCTGTGGTCAGATCTTGAATCTGGGAAGTAGGGGATACAATGGAAATGAGGGACTGGGGCTGTGGAGAAGGGACCCTTAAAAGACAGAAAGTGAATGGAGAAGAGGTGATTGGTTGGTTGTTGGGGGGAGCAGGAAGGGATCCAGGATGAAGCCTCAATGTCTCCAGTCCCTCATGGGCCCCCCAGCCTACCTCTCCCCTGGAACCCTAGTTGGGACCCCAGTTCCCACTCCCCCTGCCTCAGCACTGACCGCAGGGACTGGAGGTGTGTCTCCCACCTGGGTGCTCCTAGGGGCTGGGCCGGGGCTGGATCTTTATCCCTGGCATTGTCCAGCAAAGGGTGAGCATGGTGCGGGAGGGGCGCCAGGATTAGACCCCGTCATCCCAGCTTGGAAAAGGAGCTCTGGGGGTGCAGCTGTTAAGCACTTAGCTGCTAACCCAAAGGCTGGCAGTTCACTCAGCAGCACCACAGAAGAAAGGCCTGGCAATCTGCTTGTGTTTAAGTTACCCTACCCACTGCCATCAAGTGGATTCTGATTCACAGCGACCCTATAGGACACAGTAGAACTGCCCCACAGGGTTTCCAAGGCTGTCAATCTTTATGGAAGCAGATATTGCCTCACCTTTCACCTATGGAGTGGCTGGTGGTTTCGAACCACTGACCTTTTTGGTTAGCAGCTGAGTGCTTTAACTACTGCACCACCAGAGGTCCTTTCTGTTAAGAGATTCCAGCCAAGAAAACCTCAGGGGGCAGTTTGACCCTCTCACACATGGGGTCACCATGAGCGGGTCAACTTCACTGCAATGGGTTCTTTTTTTTGTATACCGGCCACCACACATCAATGACTGCTGGCCAGTCCTGACAGATGTCTGTCCTGCATCCCTCAGGCCATTCCTCCTACTAGGCCAGGTGGCCAGCACCTCTGTCTCCCCAGCCACACTCTCCATCCCCCACAGAAGACAGAAACCACCAGCTGGGGGCAGCCTTGGCCCCCAGGGAGCAGGGAGGGCACAGCAGGTGCAGGGGGAGTGCAGAGGGGAGAGAGAGGCGGGCCCACACCAGGCCTGCTCTGCCTCCCAACCAGGCGGTTTCTGCAGCATCTAGACCTCCCCAGCGCCCTGCTCCTGGCTGCCCCTGAGCTGAGGGACCTGGGGCTGAGGGAGTGGTGTTGGCTTTTACTCACAACTGAGCCCAGAGACTTCTGGCAGGGATGGGAGGCCGGTCCTCAAGCCCCCTGGACAAGCACCAGCAGCAGTACCTGAGGGGTGAGCTGGGCAGGGATGGGATGGGATGGGGTCTGTGGGGTCAGGGTCAAGGTCAAAGTCAGATACAGTGCAAGATGCTGTTACTGCCCAGTCCACTCTGACTCACGAGACTCCGTGTGTGTGGAGTAGAACTGCTTCATGGAGTTTCCAACGCTGTGCCAGAGCAGATCACCAGGCCTTTCTTCTGAAGCTTCTTTGGGTGGGATCAAGCTGCCAACCTCTCAGCTAGTGTATAACCATTTGTACCAACCAGGCCCTGTCAATGTGAACCCCAGATAAGCAATGAATATCTTAGTGTAAGTACATGGGGCATACTTATGCTAACATAAGTATTTATTTAACTGACATTCAAGTTTAACTGGTTCCTGTCTTTTGATTTTTAACTCTAGTGACCCTATTCAGGGGTCCAGAATGGGATTAGGGTGTGTATGGGTCTGGGTGGGAGAGTCCTGGGCCCAGTCAGGCCCAGCAGAGTGGTCCTTTAGAAGGCCAGGGACCAGCAAGCCCCTCTGTGTGACCCCCAGAGACTGAGGTTCAGTTCCTGATTGAAGATCAAAAGGGGCTAGGAAGGATTCAATGCCTGATGATTCCCTTCATCCCCCCACATGTGACTGAACACCTGCTGGGGACCTCTTACCCTCAGGGGCTCACCATCTAGGAGACAGTAGTCAAGCTGGGCCAGGATGGGTGCAGATAGGAAGTAAGTGATCAGCATTTCATTCATGGGGAACAGCAAGTACAGAGAACAGTCAGATTGCCCAAGTTTGGACCCTGGTCCTACCCCCTACTCTGTGTGACCATGTGTAGTGTGAGTGACTGCACCTCTCTGGGCCTCATTCTCCCATCTCCAGGATGAGATAGCAACAATACTTATCTCACAGGGCCACTGTAAGAGTTCAATGAGTTACTCTATATGGTATCAGGCCTTTTTTGGTTTAATAGCTTAAACAACATAATGATTTAGTTCTGTCTTCTATAGAGAGGTGCTGAGGCAGTCAGGCTGGTGATATTAGAGCCTGAGCTCCTTCCATCTCAGTACTCTACCGTGCACGGCTTCTGGGTTCAAGGTCACTTTGTGGTGCATGATGGCTGCTATAGCTCCAGCCATCGGGACATTCCAGGTAGCAGAATGGAAATATGTTTTGTATACAGTCAAGTACACATATCTGAGGGAGACAACTTTAAGAACTTTTAACCCCTGGCTAAATCACCTCCTGGGTTGAAGAATACTTAATCACTCTAGAAAGTTTCCTTGTGTTGGGATGAGACTTTTAAAAGCTTTTGAAATTAGGAAAACTGTTAGTGGGGGTGGTTGCACAACACAGTGAATGTAATTAATGTCACTGAGTTGTACCTGCAAAACTGGTTGAAATGGCAACTTTTTTTATATTATTATTGTGATTTGGGTGAAAATTTGCAGAGCAAATTCACTTTCCGTACAGCAGTTCACATACACTTTGTCTCATGACATTGACCACAATTTACCACAATACAACAGCTCCTCTCCCACTTCCTCCTGATAGTTACCTCTTCCCTGTGTCCATCCCTCCATGCACTCCTGCCCCCTGAGCTGTCTCCCATGATTGTTCTCTCCAAGGGGTGTATCTATCTCAGGGAAATGTTCAAGTCATATACCTGTCTATTGTTGGCTGGAAGCCACAGGCATGGTTTCAATTCCAGATCTGAAGGGCAGCTAGGGGCCATAGTCTCAGTGGTTCCACCAGGCTGTATTGGACTAGCAAACCTGGTCCCCCCCCCCCTTTTTTTTTCTCCAAATTATTTTGAGTTTTGTTCCACATTGTTCTCCCTCTCTATCAAGGATCTCCTACATAGAACCCCTTCCAAGTGGTTGACATTGGTAGCCGGGCACCATCTAGTTCTTCTGGTCTCATAGTCATATAGGCTGAAGATCGGATGGTGTACCAGTCACTAGGACTAATTGTTTCCATGATTTTTTGGTTTCCTTCGTTCTTCTTTGCTCTGGACGAGGAGAGACACATTATTGCATCTAGATGGCAGCTTGCAAGCTTTTAAGACCCCAGGCGCTACTTACTCGCCAAAGTAGGAGGTGGAACAATGTTTTGTGTAGTATGTTATGCCAATTGAGCTTGATGTCACCTCCAACTATGGTCCCAAGCCCACAGGTTTAACTACTAGGTCCCTCTTCGTAGCTGGCTGTGACCAAGCAGTGACTACAACCTTGCCCCTTGTCAACCCTACTATACACCTGGGAATTGAGATCATACACATAAACTTATAGGACTATTGTCTGCCAACCCTATACATGTTCTTGGGTACCCTCCCCACTTCATAGAGATACCTACTAGTTCAGCCTGTCCACCCATCTATCTACCAATATACCCAT